TAGGATTAGAAGTAGAACCGTTTGACAAAATTATATTACATTCCTCAAAAAGCATTTGTTTTGCTTCTTCAAATGCTGCTTCAGCACGACCTCTACTACTCTGCAAGCTTATATTATGTGAAATTAATTGACAAACTCCTTCTTCCAGACCTTCTATTGTTCGCTGCTGGTTGATAATTAATTTTTGGGCCTCCCATAATTTTCGCTGCTCCCCAGCCCAGATTTTATTTTGGAATTCTGTCTCGAGACTCTTATGGGTCCCCATTTCCAGCAAGTTTTCAAATTTCTCTTGAAGATCTTCTTTTTCTTCCTTAGCTTTCGTAAGGTCCTCTATTAGAAATAAAAATGGAGATTTATGGTCACTCCAAGTTAGTTAAAAACTAAGTGAATAAGGTCGATAGTACAAAAAAAAAGTTCTACAGGTAGAGGCCTTTCAAAACTTAAATATCCTAGAAGTACAAGTACCCCGTCTACAAGCTGCGCAAAATCAACCTTTCAAGAACTGGATATAAGGTCAAAACCCTGTCTACAGGCAATCATACCGTTCAAAAGACATCTTAAGAACCTTGCGTACAATACCCACCTTCAAGTTGACGAACTTTCATCTTACGCGCTTCTTTAAGTCTTTGAAATCTTGCTCGAGATTTCTGACGTGAGGTATTAGATCGACGACAGGTCATGATAGATAGATTGGTAGATAGATAGATAGGTAGACAAAGAAAATTTTGGAAAAATTTTGGGATAATATCAAAGATTTTACGTGAAGATAAGAAAAAGAGAAAGGGAAAAATTTAGACCTTATATAAGAAATAGGCACGACGCAAAAACACGTTAAGATCAGGCACAACAAAAATATCACGAAAAATCATGATGCGAAAAATTATGAAAAATGTGGACGCGTAAGACGCGCAAAAATCACTTTTGAAAATATTTCTGGAAAGTTCTAGAGAAAAATGTGAAGATATTTTTAGAACAAGGAAAAATAATCTTAAAATAGAAAAACGCGGTTAAATAATTTAAGCGATAAAAATAACTGATAGATGTAGTGAAATATGATAAGTAATACAAAAATCTCATCAGAAATAAACAAAAATCTAATCAGCAAAATGATCTACAGAAATTTAAAACATATATATAGATGTGGATAAGTTGACAAAAGAGTTTAAACCGCTTAAAGAAAAATGGATTTTTCAGAAATATTAGAAGATATTCAACAAACTACTTCAGAAGAAATTAATTTTCTATTGCCGCCCTACATGGAAGAAGAAGATTTCCAAGTTAAATTTTCTGCAACTCTAAGAAGTGTAACAAAGTCAATACGACTAAAGGACACACAATTGGCGATGATTAACTCTTTCTATTTAGGACAACTCCTAGACCAACTACCAACTCCTAGCGAACGATTGAAATACAAGCATAAAATGTCATTATATTATGCAACAATTGTAGAAAAGACTTTTGATATTTTTGAGTTTTTTCCAGAACAAATCTTAAGGACGAAGAAACTAGACGTCCAGGTTATTAGGAAAATTACCAGACCTCAGATAAGGAAACTTAGAAATAATTTATTGATTTTAGCAGGAGCTGCAAATTAAGAGGAGGAACCTGTTACCCCTAGTCACGTGTAGAGTTACAATTTACTACGCCAGAAGATCATGTGGAAAATTAGGATCTACTGTGCCCAACTG